TAAAACAACTGAGGACAACAGGCTTATTGTTTGTTTTCTTCAAAGCGGATAGAAAGTGTTGTTTCTCTTCTTCTGTTGCCTTTTTTCGAACACTGTTTTTCTTTTTTGGGAGCGGGATTTAGCCTTGTTTATTTTTTTCTCACTGAAGAAGTTTATTTTTGATATTGGGTCAGACGTAGGCTTGCTGGGGACTTTTTGCTGTCTTGTGGAATTTTGACAAGTGGGAACAACTTTGAGAAAATTCGCCTTTTATTTAGATTCCTTGGTATCAGGATTGTGTCTAAGACTACTCACTACCAAATACAGTCCAAACACTGTGTTCCTGTAACAAAGGAAGAGATTGACAAGTTGATACAGCAAAATCTTGAAAAATACAGGGGGAAGGAGATCATTGTAGCAGGTACTTGATATTTCACTGATGAAAAAGTTTCATTTCATTAGGAGAACAAAAGTAATTGTGAAACAAAATATTGAGTCACAGTGAACAATGTGATCATATTATCCAACTGGGGGATATTTGTGGATAAGAGCCCTTGATAAGCTTTGATAGTGTTGAGTCTGTATTGGTCCTTATTTGATCAACCAATGATAAGACTTCATTATATTTTATATCTATATATATTGACGAATACTGATCTAACATATTTTTGAGCAGTATTTATCAGATTATAGGATTTTAGAGGATAGGTTTAATGAACTTTCTATTCAATGAAAAACATATTTTTAATTTTTAATTGATCAAAAATGAAGTCAAAGAATGCTATATTTTTAGTTTGTATTTACTTTTCATGGGATGGAAGAATGGATTCACCTGGCCACAGTGCACAGTACTGTACTTACACTTTGCTGGAGTATGAAGAAAGAGATTAGGTCAATTCAGCAACTTTCTTAAAGTTTGGCAAGTTGCTACACTGACTTTCTTGAGGGTGCTGCAGTGGTCTCAGTGAGATTAAAAAGACATTTCTAGCACCATTACCTGTTAGCTTAGAAGAGAGGGGAGAGGTCATTTCAGCAACTTTCTCAAAGTTTGGCAAGCTGACAAGACAGATGTCCAAGAGGATGCTGTAGTGGTCTCGGTAAGATAAGAAAAAGCCAGTTTTTTCTAGCACCATTAACTGTTAGCTTAGAAGAGAGGGAAGAGGTCATTTCAGCTACTTTCCCAAAGTTTTGCTAGATGACACCACAGATGTCCAAGGGGATGCTGCAGTGGTCTCCGTGAGATGTCCCCTCTAGTGCCTCATCACATGCTGGGGCATTTTAGTTTAATTAGACATGTTAAGGATCAGGTTCCCCTCTAGCTGAACTGCAAGGAGATGGAGAAATTTTGCGGGAGAAGGGAGAAGTCAACTGGCCGGTTCGTTTGGGCACACGGAAGAGCTACCGGAATAAGAAGAGCTCTTCCAAAGTGTTCGATTGAGCGTCTTCTATTTTTAGAAGCTCTTCCATCTCTTCCACTCAATATTTGGAAGAGCTTGAAGAGATTTAAATCACGTGATGAAAAGAGCATGGCGGACAAGGAGATGTAAGTAAAAAGAGGAATTAAGAAACAGTGTTTTTCATAATGAATAGATTCATAATAGTATATTTGGTGCCACTTAATGTAAAACATTCATATTATTGTTCCTCCGTGTTTCAAATTGCATTTTGTGTGTTTTGAACGCTGACATAACAGATGATTTGAACTAACCTAATATTGGGATACTGTACGCATTTCGGACAATTGAAATCAAAGGTATCAAGTAAAAACCGCCCTGTAACTGAATTACCGGCATTGACAAGACATTTTATGAGATTATGATATCATTCAAGCTTTTAATGTCTGTGGAAAACACTTATTTGCATATTAAGAAAATGATGTAAGCAAAAGAAAAACCTATGATGACGTTGTTTAAACGGGCAGCACGAAATACCCATAAAGGGCCAAATACACTCAAATATTGCCCAAAATACGAAAAAGAAATGTTTTATACCTAAAAAGTGCTATCTTAAGTATGAAGAGTTCAAGTACATGTATACAATATACACTTTCACTAAGATATAATCAAACACACTGTACCAAAATATACATTTTCCTATCATCATTTAAATATAGGGCCTACCAAAATACTGTATAATCCATTAAGGCTATTAAATTTAGAAAAAAAATAATATAATGGACACTTGTATGAAATTTTCAACAACATTATACCCTAAAAATTTAAATGTAGACACAAATATTATCATATCTTCATCTTAAATTGCAAGTATATTATTCATAAATAAACCCAGATAAGCAAATGTCACAAGTTTATTTTCTTACAATATCTGAACTGCCCATTTCAATGGAATGAATGAAAGTTATAGCAAGCTATGTCATATTATTTTATGAATATTAATTCATTTTCTCGATATAATTTATATTTTATACAAATAACAAGAGCGATCAGTAATCACATGTGTCGCCTCATGATGGCCAATTTCATGTTGGGACAAATTTTGTGACAGACGGACAGTGCACAACTAGACTTGGTACTGATCATTCCTGTAAAGTTTGGATAAAATTGCACCAGTAGTTTATGAGGAGTAGTCCGGACAAGCTTTTGCGTATCTGGCAACACACAGAAAAAAAACACCTTTTTATCAAAGGGCCATAACTCGGCCAAAAATCATTCAACCAAAAAACCCGTGCAATATGCGCAAGGACTTGAGCTACAGATCAATCCTGTAAAGTTTCATTGAAATTGCATTAGTGGTATAAGAGAAGTAGTCCGGACAAACTTTAAAATTAAAAATTATTAAAGGGCCATAACTCTGACAAAAATCATTGAACCGAAAAATGCTGACAATATGCACAACTAGACTTGGTACTGATCATTCCTGTAAAGTTTGGATGAAATTGCACCAGTAGTTTATGAGGAGTAGTCCGGACAAGTTTTGTGACGGGCGGACAGACAGACGACGGAGAAGTGATCCCTATATCCCTATACTCCGTAGAGGCGACACAAAAATGAATGTTGCTATATTTGGGTGTATTTGCGTATTTCGTGTTGCCGTGTTTAAACACTGTTAGATATTTATTTATTTCTTTACTTAATACTTTCAGTACATTCTTGGTCTACAACTCTACATCGATGGTGTTCAGCACCAGATTACAGCAGACCCATCACTTGTGGAAGTCTTGAATTCAAATGGTATGTTGTGTAAAGGAGGCAGAACATGTGATTTTATATATCGTCGGTGGGGGGTCAAAATATCGTAACTCGGTTTTTTAGCAAAATGGGTTTTTGATGCCGCGAAAATTTAAACATACCAGCGCACCGTCTCCCAAAATAGTGTAGCTCTACACCAATGGAAAAGGCGAAAATTGTCACGTGACAAAATCTCGTGTGTCGATTGGATGATTTTTGTTGTTTTTGTCAAAACCTCGTATCTTTTAAATTTCACAATATGTTGACGGAGAACGTTGGATAAATTGTTTTTTTACATTCAAATCGGTAAGTTAAGTAGATTCTATTTTTGTACTTTCTAAATTACCTACTTTTTAAGGTTTTAATAAATATGCTTAGTCATATCTGTTCAAAGAAGTGTCCTATTGCGGCTGATAGAGAAAATACATTAATTTTCATTGCTTATCTGTATATAATTCTTTCAATCGTTACTAATGTTTGAAATAATTAAACGTAAATAAAGATATTAATTTTCGCTAAAGATAATTTTTGTTCGATTTCTGACGTTTGATGTAATTTTTCGAGATACGAGAATTTGTCATTTCATTTTTCAGATACTAGCAATCAAGATACGAGATTTTACGAGATACGATTATTTGGTATTTCATTTTCTTCCCGTTTTATATCGAAATACGATGTTTTGAAATAGCTTAAAAATAGGTGTTTTAATTCATCTAGAATCATAATGGCGATTTAATTTTATTTTCAGATACGGTTAAGCGGAATGTCACAGTATTCTGGAGAAAGTGATACCGAGTCAACGGGAGAAACTGAATATTTACAATATAAGTGTCACATTTGTCAGTTTGTACCAGATATTAATGAGTTAATTCATATTCTTGAAAAAGTAGTTGACATTGGGCCTTATCTAATTTCTCTTAGAAATGGGCAGTTTTATGTTCGATGTCAGTTCGCTGACTGTGAACGGTATTTTCATCTATTATGTATTCATCCAACATTTCCAGATGAAGCATTAAATTATTCACATTTAGATACATTGAAAGAAAGTGGGATACACTGTCCAGTCTGTGAGCCAGGGATAAAAAATTGTAAATTATTAACTATTTTTCAAATATGTTACCACTGGGCAAAACAATGGTAACTTTTGCTCAAAGCAATCAAAAGGAAAGCCGTGTGTTAGCTAAGAAAATGGTGGTTCAGAATTCTCTTTTTAAAACTCATAAAGGTTATGGAACAAGAACAAGTGACTGATACGAGTATTAACCATGACATAAATAATAACAACAAAAACTACAATGAGTTGACACCTTCAAATATTTGTAATAAACCAAATTTTTCAGAAACAGAATATAATAATGAATCAATGGAAGTCGGGTCTACGTGTGTGGAAGACAGTGAATCTGTGTGTTATAAGGCACAAGATATTAATACAGAAAGGACTGAACAAGTTATAAATGGTGGAAATAGTGAGCAAATATCTACTTTAGAAAACAGTGAATCTGTAATCTATAACAAAATTGATTCGATTATCTGTGCTGAAAACAGTGAATCAACAATGAAAACAGAAAACAATGAGTCATGCGCCAATTTAGATAACAGTGAACCGGTGTCAAAACACTGAAATATATAAAGATTTTATAGAACTTGAAATATTTGTTCAAAGTGGAGATGCTGAGACTGACATTGAGATTGAAAAGATCGTTGGAATTGTAAACGCTGATAACAGTGTAAATGTGTTTGATGATCGTTCCAATGCAGCAACTGATCAAAATAGTGAATTAGATATTTCTCTGAATTGCAAAGAGTCAAATGTTACTATATTGGATGAATTTAATGGCAGTGTTTGTAGCAGGTGTTAATGATGAATCGATTGGTGGTAAAGAAACTGAGATTGACGAATACTTTCAACAAGCATATTCTGTCATAGGTGAAAGTTCTTTCATTGGAAACAATAGAGACAAAAATAGTGTAAAAGATATTACAACAAATGTTGAAAATGAAACATGTTTGGATCTAGGAGAAAATGAAGAATATGAAGATATAAATAATGACAAAGATGCAAATGACCCAGATTATAATCCTAGTGAAGAGGGTGAATACGCGTCACCATCGGAAGACGATATTGATCATGAAGAAACCGTAGAAAATGAATCTGTAAAGGCAAATGATAAACAAAATGGAAAAGGAGAAAGGCAGAGACATCGTAATAAACAGTTGCGTATGTCAGGGAATGCATACAAAGGAATGAAAAAGTGGATGGGAAGTGGGGATTCCATGTTGAAAAGTCCGCAAGGACGTTGTCTGAAAAAAAGGTGTTCATCACGCTGCCAAACCTCTAATATAAAAAATTGCAAAACCGTAACAGAAGCAGATAGGAGAGAGATATTTACTAATTTTTGGACAAACATGACAACATGGGATGAAAGGCGTGTATATGTAAACTCGCTTATAAATGCTAAAGCAGTGGAGGAACCTACACTTGAAAATGGAAAACCAAGTAGAAGAACTCGAACCCTCACATACCATCTAAGAATTAATGAAGAGCGTATTGTCGTATGTAAACAACTATTTTTGTCAACTCTTGGACTAGGGGAGCAGACAGTATATCAATGGATAGAACAGTCAATATCGGGTGTACCAGATAGATCAGCTGAGAAAAAGCAGAAGCAGTCAGGTAGTAACATGCCATTTAAATGTTTAATACAATTTCTAAATCCCAATTTCTTCTCTATATAAAAAAGTGAGTTTTAAATTAGTGAATGAATAAATTTGTGGGAGTGTGAATGAATAAATTAGTGCGTGCGTGCGTAAGAGTGCGTGAGTTGGTGTGTGTGTTAGTGAGTGAATTACAATATGAATGAGTATCAGTTTAAGTGAATGAGTGATTGACTGAAATATTAAATGTGTTGTTAGCACTTTATAAAAGATATTTGATGCCTTTCTTTTTCAGATACAAGAAAGAAAGCTCAAGAAGAAAGACACGGCCAGCTACGTATGAGTGTCAAGCAATTTCTTGAAAGCATCCCTAGAATGGAATCTCATTATTGCCGTTCATCGACTTCGAAGACCTACCTTGAACCTGTATTTAACTCTCTGACCTGCTTGTATAAAGAATACGTGAAACATTGTAATGAAAGGGTATGTGCGAGTCGTAGAGTATTTACCGAAGTTTTCGAGAGCCTAAATATTGGTCTATTTGTGCCAAAAAAGGACCAGTGTGATATCTGTGTAGGTTTTTGATGCAGGTAATATATCCGCTGATATTTACAACGAACATCAGAATAGAAAAATAAATTCACGAGAGGAGAAAAACCGTGACAAGTTATTTTGTCAAACAAACCACTCAGTGAAAGTTCTTACAATGGACGTACAAGCAGTTCTACTTTCGCCAAAAATGAATGCAAGCGCATTGTATTATAAAACCAAATTAGCATGCCATAATTTCACTTTGTATGACCTTATAACGAAGCAGGCGACCTGCTACTTTTGGCATGAAGGAATGGGGGATCTTTCGGCTAATTCCTTTGCTTCTTGCTTGGCTGACTACATTGAAAAAATGATTTCCAAAGATGAAGAAATCAAACACATCATTATATATAGTGATGGATGTACCTATCAAAATAGGAACTTGGTAATGTCAAACACTTTATGTCACTTGGCTATGACTCTTGACCTTGAAATCACACAAAAGATCCTCGAAAAAGGCCATACTCAAATGGAGGTGGATTCAGTACACAGCGTAGTGGAGAGGAAAATAAAGAACAAGAATGTTTATGTGCCACAACAGTATGTTGACTTCATCAAGGAAGCCTGTCCCTCTAACCCATATATCGTTGAATACGTTGGCTACGATTTTTTCAAAGCATACTCGGAGTTGGGCTACTATGTTTCAATTAGACCTGGGACTAGGGTTGGAGACCCAGTGGTTAGTGACATTAGAGTTCTTCACTACGAAGCAGATGGTTCTGTACGCTATAAATTGAATTATAGAGACTCATTTAAGGAACTTCCAAGAAAATCTAGAAAATCTTATGTTAAACATACAGAGATAATACCAAAGTTGCACGGTGGTCCTTTGAAGATAAAGAAAACGAAGTTCGACCATTTACAGGCACTTAAAAGTGTTCTTCCAATGGATTATCATGGGTTTTATGACCACCTGAAACATGATTCTTAAAAACATGAAAACGAAATGTATACAGGTGTTTCGTTATGGGACCTTAGTTAAACTATAATTTTCTCTTGACAGTAATATGAAAGTGCCATTTTATTCATTTGAAGTAAAAAGTACTAAATTCATAAATAGTGAATTTAAAGACTGAGAAAGATTGATGTTTCAGTCAATAATGAAGTTAATTAATTTTGTTTGTTTTATTTGTTCAAGTTGAATTTCAAAGTTTTAAAGATTTGAGTGAGTGAGTGCGTGTGCGTCTGTGCGTGTGCGCGTCGCGAGTGTGCGTGCGTACGTGTGCGTGCGTGCGTGCGTATGTGCGTGTGTGTGTGTGTGTGTGTGTGTGTGTGTGTGAATGCATAAAAAGACTGAGGAAAGTTGATGTTTAATTCAATTGTTATGTCAAAAGTTAACAGTTTATTAACCAACTCTGTTTAATTTGTTCAAGTTAAATATCAATACTTCAAGGTTTCAAGTTGTTAAAAATAAAACAATGTTGATGAAAATGATATTATATTGTTATTCTACTTCTAAATAAATGCACTTCTTTGATTATCCCTTATGGTCAAAATGTCGTATATGCTATTTTTTAAGGTCAAATTGTCGTACACTCTATATGTCAAAACTGATCAAACCAACTCATAAAAATCAATTATATATTAAAACGTACTATTCATGTTACCACTATACAGGAATTGTTTCCACAGAAGGTTCTTTTAGAAAGAAAGAAATCAAAAAAATGTTCCTCCTGAAAAGTAGCAAAAACTGTTATACGAGATTTTGACCCCCCAACGACGATATGCTTTTAAGTTTCAAGTTGGTTCTCTACTACCTGTAAATGTTTGCTATGCATCTGTACTGGTAGTGGTAGGAAACGCAAGAGAAGAAGCAGTCATCTGATTTGATTGATGTAATTTGAGACAACTTAGTATTAAAGTCCATGCTAAAATCATTTTGTTTAACAGAAGTTAATGTGGTGGGTGTATGGAACACAGAGACTTAAGTGATATAGGGGTTTGTCATTTACTACACAACTACATGTGAATGGAATATACATATAGAATACCAAGAAGATCTATATGCATAAATAAAATTTGAAAAATAGTACTGTATTCATATTTCAAACAATATGGGTTTTCAGTCTGGTTGTGTGTGTCTGTGAAATGTCATAACATGTTAAAGAATGTGTAATCTAACTAATGGAGAAAAGTACAGTCACACTGTCACAATCTGAGGCTATTTTACTGTTAACGGTACATTTTTCTATTGGCATCATTGGAATATTATCTTTTCATTCAGTTCTAACTTAATATGAATATATTACTAATAAAGATTTTCATTAATTTCTAAAATGACCATCAATATTAGTTTAAAGTAAGCCAAATAGGCCCTGATTTTTGTGTATTTATTGGTATATTTAAAACAATTTGTTCAATGCCTATTAGAACAAACTGTTAACTGAATCAGCCAGTTAAGTTTAGTGGCTTTTGGGAAAGTAATTGTTAAAGTTCAGGGATTTTTATTTAAAGTACTGGTATGCATATAAGTTTCATATCAACAATATCTTTTCAGATCCTCTCATAAGACACCATGGTTATGAATATGTGGCCACTCTGCTAAAGAAAGGTTTGCCAAATATTTTTTTTTTTAAATATTTCAATAATTCATGGTCTTAACTCATGCAAAATAGATCATGAAGGTTAAATAATTTCATTTACCATTTACAACCCTTGGATGAAAATGCTGATAAATTCAGGTGCAGGGGTTTGGCAGAAGGGTGTTTGTGAAAAGGGGGAGACTTGTGTTTTCTTTCTGGATTACATATACGTGTTATTATGATTTGTATAATGTTACGTTTTTTTTTCTTCAGGAAACCAGTGTACAATGACCAAAGATTCGTCAGGTGTCAGTTGTGGTATTGGTGAGCCAGCACCTATGTCTTTGGCTTTGCAGAAGGAATTAGGTTGGTTGTGAAGTTTGCTTAGAAAACTTGAGAACCCTTCATACTAGGTTTAGACAAGTTTGTAGAGCATTGCCATTCCAGTCCACTGATTAAGGATTATTCCACACGCTAAGGAAAGCACTCCCATTGTGATTCATAATACATTCTACGGCCATTGGAACCCATGACCTCTGGATCCAGCGTCTGTCGCCTTTCCTATAGACTATGGTGCCTCCCTAGAGCAAGCGTTAACATCTTCTATTGGTAAACAGTGTTAATTCTAACAAAACACAACAGTCCACCCTCTGGAAATAAGATTATATACATATATCACTTGTGCACACCTTTAGCTGTTTTGATACTGGATAATGTCACTCAGAAAAACCATGATTTTGGTGATTCAGGGTTAAAGTAATATCAGACAAAAAACTTTTTTGTGGTGTATGTTTTTTTTCTTTACAACAACACCCATAATTTGTGTATTATTTTCAGGAAACTCAAGTACAGTGGCTCAAGATTTCTCATCAGGTGCTAGTGCTGTTCCGGTGCCTGAGCCTCAGGCTTCACAGGTGGAACAAGGTGTGTTGGGAACCTTTTGTAGAAAACTTTAGTTAGCTTTTTTGTTAGCTTGGTCGACAGAGCACCAAACGAAATGTAGGATGATGCGCAACAAATGCCAAAACAATTATAAACGACTGCCATATTTGATTGAAAAGCTGCAGAAAACACTGTCATCACCACTATTCCAATTGACAGTGAATAAGAATAGTTTGATACGTGTCTAACTGGCAGCTTTTGTTAAGTAAAACATTCAGTTCAGTAAAACATTCACATGATATGATTTTAACGTTGTTTATTTTCAGAGCCACTGTCTGAGAAAGGAAGCCCGGAAAATGAGAATTTATCATATATAAGTTATCTTCCTACCAAATATGAAATACATCTGTCAATAAATAAAGGCTGTATGAGCAAAAGTGTAAAAATCTATTTTTAGCACTGGTGACCTTAACCAAACTGACCCCTTACTCTATCAAAGTTTATGTTTCTATCAATTATAAAAGTCTATAGAATAAGGTCATTACACCTGTAAAAATGTAAAAATCTATTTTTAACATTGGTGACCTTGACATTGGTAATATTGACCTTGACCCAAATGACCCCTTACTACACCCAAAAAAGGAGGATCTCCCTTGACATGTTTGTATTAAACTAAAACATCAACTAAAATATAAAGGCTGTATGAGCAAAAATGTTAAAATTTATTTTTTAAACCAGTGACCTTGACCTTGACCCTAGAGACCACTCACTCCACAAAAATTTAGAGAACCATCAAAGGTATCCACCAACCAAATATGAAAGATATCATTACAGAAATTAAGCAATTAGGAGAAATTTAAGATAAATCCATCTTGCTGAAAAAGGTTAACTAGACAAGGCCCTATTTTCAAAGTGATAAAAGGGAAATAACTGGGAAATATGAATGACACAGTTATATAACTTGGCAATATCATATACTTTGTATTGATAAGTAAGTGTGGAAATTATAAAGCCATTAGTATAGATAGAAATTAAGATATTTCCAACTTGCCGTTTTAGGTTAACCATTATTCATTTTCTAAGTGCTGAAAAGGGCAATAACTTGGTAAATATGAAAGCCAGAGTTATGATACTTGCCCAGATCATGTACTTTATATTGATTAGTAAGTGTGTAAACTTAGAAGCCATTGGTACAGGTAGAACTTATGAAAAATCCAACTTGCCGTTCTAGGTTAACCTCGTACGGACAGACGGTTCAATCACTATATGCCCGGGGGCATAAAAAGAGAACAAATTACAAGGATTTAAATTGCAAGGGTTATAGTTATACAATGAAACAAGTAGAGGGAAGATGGAAAACACTGCTATTGGCTTATAGAAGGGTAAAAGACCACAATAATACCTCTGGAAGAGAAAGAAAGACATTTGAATTTGAAGAATCATTAGATGAACTGCTGTTAGATAGACATGACACAAAACCATCCTTTGTTATGTCATCATTAGAAAGTACTCCATCAACCTCTTCAGGTGGAAACACTGAGGAGCCTGAAGACACATCTGACTCAGGTGAGCCACCACGTAAAAGAAAAA